TTGGGTTGCTTTAGCTACACAGCTGAACATGCAGACCACTGCAGATCACTTGTGTTCCCCGTAATTGGTGTCTGAAGCTGTGTTCGGTTGTGTGATCCATAAAGCTGTCTCATTATTGTATTCGAATGCTAGTACCTAGAACCTAATACCTTATGTTTCATAATACGTTTCATACGCTCCAGTGCCTATTGCCCGAAAAAGATCCACGGATGTGGAACACAACAGGTTTATTGCCAACAAGCGAGTGGGTGAGTGCAACACTTACAAAGGACCTCACGCTACTTGGATTTTACTTTCATCGAGCCGGGTTGTTGCTGAATGGATTGAATGCTTGATTGCCGGCTTTCCTATTGAGGATTTGGTGTAGTGTTAGGGTCTCAGTAGGTTCTGAGCATTCTGGATTGCTTTCAGGGATCTGATCTTCCTGATATCTTCGTATACCGATGTAGGGCAGCAAGCAGCCTCTAAGCATATACTATGCCAGCTATTAGGGTTCACATGAAATGTTATCTTCCTTTGTATCCTTTGAACTTGCTTCCACGACCCCGCTGATCTTGGCCTCATTAGCAGGCGGAAGAAGACTCATTCACTTACTGTTCTAGCTTCTCAGTACACGTCTGTTTCATCTGAAGTTCAAGTGCTCGGTTCTTTGCTCTAAAACCAATGTGGACATCCCAGACATACGTACTCTCATGGCTGTGGGACCTAAAAATCGATCTCATGCATCAAAATGCTTGCTGTAGAACACCACCTAGGATTTGGACAGCTTAGCTCTCGAAGCCATCGACCGATTGGGGCCATTGCTGTACACATATAGCCACCCAAAGCCACCAGTAAGGCACGATGACCCCATTAGCCTGGGGTGCCACTGTAACATAGAAAGAATAGATATTCGCTTTTAGGTTTTTTCATCTCTGGAACCATTAGAAATAACATCGGCGAGTCGTACTGAAAGTATACAATAGACAGCAAACCGAGAATGGACCCGCAACAACGTTTGCACTTTCGTTTAGAGTGTTTAGAACTATAAGTGTTCTTCTCCACATCAGAATAACTTTTTGGGTGACTTCGTTCAGTCTTGCAAACCATGTTATCAGTAGTTAATTTGTCTACTGAAGTTGCGCTTTTGACAAAACTTCGTCGGGCAAGTTCCTAAATCGCTCCCTGAAAAGCTGCGTAAATGTGATAATGAAGACTAAAACTAAATTGCTTTGATATTAGGTGAACTTCGCGAATTGCGTACAATTTGGGTCCATGTTGAACACATGGTTGAGGAGTATTGCGCCTGCCTGATGAGCCCTCAAAAAACGAAACCGTTCTTCGGCCATCAAAAAGTTTTAAGCAATCTTATTGGTATTGTGTTACGAGTAGACATTAAATATTTCATTCTGCCTGACGCCCTACAATTGTTTGTCAAGAGCTAAGCGAAAAGAATCCTGCTGACAAAGAGAGCTGGTATATGTCCTGGTGAGGTCAACATTCAAGGCAGTTACAATTGAATGGGATTTGTACACGGTCGTGTGCTTCGTGTGTTTCAACGTGTCAGTGTTGTGGCTCATCCTACTCACCCAATGAGTCCGGGACTGAATCACCTCGCTGGATGTGACAGTGACTGTCATCCATGAATAGAGCCCCTACTTCGCATTTTGCCAGATCTTTATGTTCTCGGGAGCGATGCAGCTCACTGTGGTCCTCCTGTATACCGGAATTCCCCTCTGATACAGATATTTTTCTGCATTTGCTGGTGTCCTGAAAGAACATGAAGTGATGGGGTTGGAACATGAGGTTTCTTCAAAATACGTACAACCATGTTAGCAAGGTAAAACATGGCCGTACTGTGACCAAACCATCCCAGTTTTGTAGTGAAAGCTTGGTGAACTTGGTTGAGTGAGTGAGCAGCAGGAAATCCAAAGTCACAGTGACTTGCAGTTTCAGGCTTCTTCCTACAAGTTCACACCCGCCACACGGTCCGCACAATGGGAAGTCCGAATTAGGGGTGAAACGCGATCCCAACCGGATTTTAATTTGCCCATATTACTAGCTCATCCTTAACGGTAGCGGAGAACCTTCGCTGGAACCACTAAATTTATGCTTAAATGCGAATAGGAGACGTATAAGGCGGGATGGTGACATTTACTGTTCTCAGCCGCAAGACTTAAAACTATGGATTATATGTTTAAAGGTGATAGGAAAGGGTGAAATGGTATACGCGTTTTAGCCGAAGTTTTGTCCTTAACCTTTTGAAGACAGTTGCGTAGTTGCTTGAAGACATACTGTAGGCATGCTTTCTCCCCCACGTTCCCACAAACGCCGATCTGTTCTCGCGGTGTATCTCAGTGGCTGCAATAATGCTGACAGGTCACGTGGATGGGAAGTATTGTTCCCCTGCTACTTTGGATAAGCCATGTTTGTTCAGCACTGTATACTCTAGGTGCTGAATCCAATTTGTTTCATGCCGTTTGCGGAACGGCAAACTAAAACTATACTATCCTTGCATTGCATTCACGTGAGGCTCTACAGCACTATAACTTTCAACGACACGTTCGAAAAAGCCACTAAAACTTAGAGTTGGTATTCCTCAGAGGGAGTCCTGTTCACTTCGGAGCTTCGAACGTCGTAGAAGCTAATCTTACCACTGTGACGTGTTGTTCTGAACTTCGAGCTTGATCACGCACAACAAAATGACAACTTTTTTTGACGATTCCTAGCTGTCGCAACTAAGTGCTAGACAAAAAAAAACTAAGAAACAGCAGAGTTGTCGAAGTTGGCAAAATTTACATCCTGAGCTACTTTCTCACGCTAAGTTTAACCGGATTCATGACTCTCACCCTCGCGACTAATCATTTCTGAGTAAGTTTACGGTTAGACTTGTTAAGTTTAACGTTAAACTCAAAAACGATCTCCGATAAACAGTCACGATGTCACACAAAAAGTTGGAATCAGTTGACGTTGAAGGGAATAATAACAATAATTCTATCATAGCTGATTTTTTATCAACAAGCTTATTCTGAACCTGCTTCTTTTTCGATGCCAATCTCCGATACCTACGACAGTGGAATGACGTCAGTTTACCCGTTGGTTAGAATATACCCTGCAGTGGCCCGATCCACACCGACCTTGCGTTCAGAGGTTTTCCGAAATGTTGGCCGGGTCTGGTGGGAGCATGGGATTAGCAACATTGAGGTACGCCAGATGGTTTTAGGAAGGAGGTGCTCTCGTGAGGTGGTTGAGCTACTCACATTTTATGCATTGTGCTGTAGGAAGTACACTTCGCATGTCGGAGGACAGAGCTCTTTTTGCCCAGCCCTGTGCCAAGTGGGAATGGTCGAGAGGTAGCGAAGAATGGAAGCGCTAACTAGTAAACTTAGTCGGGTCGGTGACTACCGTCTTCTTGCCTGGGGACTCTGGGTTTCAATTTGCCAATGATTGACGATGCTGGTAGACGTGGTTCAGTCATCCCTCAGTGACACTCTTGCATCAATGCTCTCGCCTTCAATAAGCCTCCCGCTTTTTTCAAATGGCTAGATTGATTAAATATCAGCAACTGATTTCGCCATTGCCTCCAGTGCCTGGTTGCATCTCTCCTGCTCTCTTGTTTTCCTTTTACCAAAACTGCAGCAGGTGGAATCAGTGTACCCTTGGCACATGGTTTTTAGCTGATACTGAACCGAGCTTCCTTTTCATAACGTTTCAATATCGACCACTCAGAACCAATGGTCATGGTGTTGGATACGTGGTTTGGAGTTTTCACCTCAGTAAAGATTCTCCGAAAAGAGTTCAAGTTAAGAGCCACTCTTAAAGCTCAGGAGACTGATCTTCGCGGAGGAGGGTTCTTCCAGACAGGTTACTTCACCCGGATGCGTCTGTCTGTCCAAGTTCCACTTATCCACGTAGATAAGGACAAGTGAAAACATGCCTAATCCAGTGCCTCATTTCGACCGATAGATCAACTTGACCAATCACTTGCAGTCTTTATATGCCATCGGACCTTTTCGATTACATTGTCTTGCACTTGACAAAGGTTACAGAGAGCGATTGAAGTATGCATGCATGGATATTTACACAACTTAGATTCACTCTATGGTAGTAGCAGATGATAGTAATGATCTATTTGATTACAGGTCTCTCTGCTTTGGATTTATCAGACTGTGTCGAACGCGTGACTGCGGAGACAGCGGCTAACCCTACAATCCTCTAGGCTGCGGGTCCACCGGCTATGTACAATAGTACATTAGATTTGTAAAGTCGGTTACATGTGAATTCTTGTCATCTTTGGGTGCATTCCATGGTCGATGGAGTCATCTATCAGTAGCTCGCTATCCCGTTGATTGCTTTTCACCTGAGCCCAGTCCTGTATTTTTTTAGGCCACATTAGGGCGGATACGAGCGATCAATCTGGGTTTTAATTCACCCAAATTTGATAAATCAGTGGCTATCCCTACCTTGCCTGTCAAGTGTGAAGACAATTGAACTCATCAATAGGGGTTGTATACAATAAATTATCAAAGATGGTGGTATGGTGTCGGTAGTGTCAGACACGTTTGAATTCACTAGTAAGAAAGGTAGCATTGGGTTCGCAAGCCTCGATGAAGCAGGTAACCAAGGTGCCAAACCACAACTGGACTAATTTGGTTGCATTCAAAATGCCAAACATAGCCATGTGCTCTAACACCTTCAGTTGCATTTGGACGTATTTTTCAAAACAGTAGGAATACTTTTCCACGAACACAGACTTTTAAGGAGGATTAGTTGAATGGTTCGCGCTGTCATACTGGTGCACAAACTACATATCAAGTTGCATGTTGCCTACCCAATGTTATGTAGGATACCAAAAAGCAGCATAACAGTTCGCACCCATGATCTGTTGAAAGCTAGAGTCTGAGAATCTCATCCAACCAATTTCAACTGGTTACCACTAGCTGCTAGCTAGCTTGCCGATACTTTTACCTGACATTCCTGGAATATTTTGAGATAACAACAATTGCTCGTCGATTTTGCAGGAACCATGGATCGAGGAAAACATCACAATGCTGGAATGTGCCAAGTACATTCCTTCGAGACGTTCCATGGTCAAGTGAGTGTCAGATGTTAGCGGCGTAGTAGTACCAGTGTCTTTTCAGAGCTTTTAATTTATGTGAAACTGGTGTGCACGTTTTACTGGCGAAACTGTTTCCTTGTGCAGGCGTAAACCTTCGCATGCGTTCTGTACTGAGTTTATGAAATTTCATTTGTATCTTGCTTCTCTCATGCGGTGTACATAAGGATTGGACAGATTTCTCCGCTTCGTCTGGAACAAATGCCCCAAACATGCGGTACTCGTTCATATCCCTCATCCATGCATCCTAACGCAACATGGTGAACGTGTATAATGGTGTTTCGCCTCCACCATTTCGGTTGATTAAGAGCTACTGTTTCAAGTGAGCTAAGCTCGAATGATAGCCATGATAAAATATCACTGTACACGAATATGTATTCGATTACAGCGAAACTGATGCTGGCTATTAGGAGTTCGAAAAAAGGTATATTGCTTCATTGCTACGTTGCTTCAGTCTATTCTTCAAGTGTAATAGTTCCAGTAAGCATTTCAATTGTGAAGTGAATGAAGGCGTGTGCACATAGAATACCAGGTTATCGGTTAGGTCAGGTCAAACACAGGCAACAGGAGTTCACTGTTAGCCTGTTTTCAGCCACCCAACTCGGTTGTTACCTTTCTGTTTCGACGGCATACTCATAACTGGAACAGAGCTGAAAGTTTGATTATTGAGAATAAATGATCATGCACATTTCTCCTGAACAACGTATTAGGTACGGTTCAATGCAGTTACGCTTGTTTTAAGGTGTCTAACGAACTGGTTGACCTGCAGTGAAAAAAAAACGCCTACTTGGTCCAAAGGCTAAATTACCTTTCACACTGCCTTTCACACTGGAGCATAGATATATCGAACCGCCACCTGAGCATTATCGGACTGAATCAGTCACCGAGTCTTTTCAGATCATTGGTTCGAAACACTTATGCCAACCAACCAATGGTCAACAGGTTTGAGGTAGCTCAGGAGTGAGGGCGCGAGCTCCTGGCGAGATGCCAATTGTTCGAACGGCCGAACGATTTGGTTAGATGAAATTACCTCACTGGAACTGGTGTTACGACTTTGCACAGTAACATGACTATATGGAACTGCCGCCTAAATGCTGTCTTGCCGTACCGTCACCGGGTCTAGCCATGTCACTCGTTCCGAGCGTTTCTGCGAAGCTAACCAACACTGATCACGTAACCTGTATTTTGTGCCTCCTGATACGATACTCCTATTCTCACTGCCATCGTCATAGGCGTTATCACCATGGACAGAAATGCACCATTGTTGAATGCTGATACTTAACTGGGATCGATCGTGGAGGAGGATAGGTTCAACTGGGCGAGAACAAATAAAAGAGGCGTGGACCTAATCTTCAATTCAGCTAGGACCCGGACAAAAAATTTAGACAGTACTGAACCAGATGCGTTTGGGGATCATGTCACATTAAAACGCCACCAGTGGAGTTTACTCTGTTACTTTTGCAAAACCCATCCAACGTAAGCCCAGCATACAGTGACAAACTCTGGCTAGCTAATCTGGCCAACGAACTCCGGCATGCTCGCCAGGCCAGTTGGCTTGCTTATGTACCGTATTCTGTGGGGTTTCCAAACGTGTGTGGCGAGAATCACAGCCAGGAAGACGCAAATATCTAAAGACTGCAGACGGCCATAAATTTAGCATGCCTTTACAGCCATTTTGCTACCCCTAAGGCAGAGTGAACTGCGTTTCTAACACTGAAAGCGACGAATACTGCATTCGCCTTGGTGATGCTTGCATTGATGTCATCCGTTTGATGAGTGGAGCTGCCAAGGTACGTGAAGAGATAATTATGTTCGAGCCCCTCATCCTGAATTTTCAATCAGACGTTGATAGAATGAAAATCATGCAGTAAAATCTTGCTGGAAATATTCTTCCTGTATATTCAACTTCCAACGGTGCCTCTGATCACCACAGCTAAAGACCGGTTCCTTGAGTCCTGTTTTGTCACTGGGGTGAAATAGTTTCTTTAGATTCCAAGCTTCACCGGCCCCCTCCATTTTCATCCGGTTTCCAGGCTACACTTGAGCTAACGTCTGACAGGTCATGCTGAACTATTTCAGTTGTTATGGGACTCAATCTTCAGTTGATGAGCATTCAAAAACACCATATACGAAATTCTCTGCTGTAAGCATGTCGTTTATTATCTCGTCCTAAGTACATTTGGCCTATTTTAAAGATGTAACTTTTGAGGTTCCGCACAAGCTAATTTAGTAAATTTGTTTCACTTGTCGGTCAGACAGCTTTCTACGGCTCAGCGAGAATCTTGTTCCTCTGGTTGTACCAGTCTAAAGTACTATCCGAATCGACGAGGTGCTTCAGAGCGACCGCCATTGGTAGCTACTAGATGTATGACCAATCGTGCTCCATGTCTACTTATCAATAGGAAACATCAAGTAGCGCAACGGAACCCACTGGGCCTTCACTTAGTACTAAAGAACAGTACGTTTCCATTGTGAGGCTAAAAAAGATATTAGCCATTATCACGAAGTCTTGGTTCCAAGCCGTGATGGTCACCAAGTCGCGTCTGCTACGCCCAATTTCTACATTGAGATTTCCGGTCACTTGGACCGTAACAGAGCCCTCAACGATGGAGAAATAGACAACATTTGCTCCACGGAGTCGGTTATTGCCAGCTCCGATGAGTGCAGAGTCCATTTTGAACAAATTTCAGGTGTTTCCAACGAAAACAATGACCACGGAAAGCAACTATTTCATTAGCAATCAAGTCACGAGAAAATAGTTGTTACTCATTCTTTCATAGCTGTCACTCCCAGTAGGAGTGCGTATTATTTAGTCCAAAGAAAACTTCACAGGAACTGTCAGTTGTCCACCCAATTTCCGGTTTTGAGAAGCACTGAATTTCAGGTTTCTTTTGGAGTACATCGTGACATACAACCCTTTTATCTTTATGAGGATGACCGAATTAGAATCCCTGTCCAAGAGGTAGTCCTTTTCACCCAGCTACGGATTGTGATTCTCGCATCGAGTCTATCTCATTCTAGGTATCGTGAAAAACAAATTTGTGCGATTTTGTTACATTCCGAATCGACCGCAAGAATAAACAGAAGTTGTGCCACATACTAACCAATGTGTGAATGTTTGTGAATGTATGTGTGTTGGATTTTTGGAGCCTACCCATGTCAAAAAATGTGCATCTTACCTTTCTGATGACGTTATCTTCGAAGGTCTCCTTTATCTGATTCTGAATCTGGCGACTGCATTGATTAGCACATAAGATTGCAAATCAGGAACCGGGCACTTGTGCACTTACCACAAGCGTGGACATTTAAGTCAACTGTGTTGATCAGGGAACACATCTGTGATGGTTAACCTAGGCCAGTTAACATTCAGATGTGGGTCTAAGATTTCCACTTGAATAGCACCCTTGACTAGAATGGCCTTGAATTTCAGTGTACGTTGCTTTATCGTGGCTAATCCGAGTTCACGCTTGGTTTTCTACTAGTGTAAATCAGAGCAGTGTTATTCGATTATTGACGTGTGCGCCTCACAGTTTCCTGGTTAAACTACTGGATGCCTGTGTGAGAGATCCGCACAAAGCTGTTTCAAGCCACTGCTACCGCGGCAAACTCGAAGCAGTAAGGCTTGCGCGTATGTATGTGAAGTTCTTTTGAGTGCCGTCAGTCGGTGTAAGCAAAATTGGATAACAGTTATCATTAGTGCTTAACACTCTGTGCGGTATTAGTGTCACCTCTCAGTCATGTGAATTTTTGACGTTGTTTTACACTCCTAATAGTACAGTATTACTCCAAACCATATATCATTGGGGTTGTCTACCCGGATAGTTAGATTACGATGAATATTCAGCTGACGTCTCCTGAAGAAAAATTCGAATGTGGTTTGAAGAAAGAACAGTACACCTTATCAGAAATATTTGATGGGTAGGATAGAGTGAACGCTATTTATTGTCCTGAGACGCACCCGCTTTTTGTGCAAATCCAGATCGCAGAAGAATTTAAGCTGAAAGAGGAGACGTCTTCAAACGTCGTTCGCAGGCAGGAGAAAACCAATACTCCGAGTTCAAAACCTGCACACTTGTGAAGGATGACCCTCATGAAGAGTTCACCGTCGTCTATAACTAGCTCCTCGATTACACCAACATTAAGCTTACAATCGTTCGGACGTCTTCGAGGCTATCAGAGTAACGTTTGTCGCCTAAATGTAACTTGGCCTTTTCCAGCATTAGCCATAAACAACCTTTTTGATGTGCATCTGTCCGGTATGCCAGTTTAGCTGGCTTCGTACCAGGATACTTGCAGTTCCATTTAGTTCGGATAACAGTAGAGTAGTCACAGTTTGAGCTACAGTTATTTATCAGTGAAGCATTATCACTCAAACCTCTTCAGTCAGTCCTATACATTTCACTTCACAAGATCTTACTCATTGATAATTTCTTTACCACTTTGCGCGTTCGCTTTCAAGCTGCTAACTCGTCCTCATCACATGCGGTATTTATCCTTGCTTGATCATGCAAGGAAATCGGACCTTATTGTGCTGTGACTCTGTCTACCTTTATGGCCCATTAAGGGGGGGGGTTACTTTGACCCCTGCAAAGCTTCTCATACCAGGTTGGTCAGTGGACATAGTCCTGACGAACACAGTTCCCTGTTCCACCAGATTAGGGGTTAAAATAGTAAGGCTTGCGCGTATGTATGTGAAGTTCTTTTGAGTGCCGTCAGTCGGTGTAAGCAAAATTGGATAACAGTTATCATTAGTGCTTAACACTCTGTGCGGTATTAGTGTCACCTCTCAGTCATGTGAATTTTTGACGTTGTTTTACACTCCTAATAGTACAGTATTACTCCAAACCATATATCATTGGGGTTGTCTACCCGGATAGTTAGATTACGATGAATATTCAGCTGACGTCTCCTGAAGAAAAATTCGAATGTGGTTTGAAGAAAGAACAGTACACCTTATCAGAAATATTTGATGGGTAGGATAGAGTGAACGCTATTTATTGTCCTGAGACGCACCCGCTTTTTGTGCAAATCCAGATCGCAGAAGAATTTAAGCTGAAAGAGGAGACGTCTTCAAACGTCGTTCGCAGGCAGGAGAAAACCAATACTCCGAGTTCAAAACCTGCACACTTGTGAAGGATGACCCTCATGAAGAGTTCACCGTCGTCTATAACTAGCTCCTCGATTACACCAACATTAAGCTTACAATCGTTCGGACGTCTTCGAGGCTATCAGAGTAACGTTTGTCGCCTAAATGTAACTTGGCCTTTTCCAGCATTAGCCATAAACAACCTTTTTGATGTGCATCTGTCCGGTATGCCAGTTTAGCTGGCTTCGTACCAGGATACTTGCAGTTCCATTTAGTTCGGATAACAGTAGAGTAGTCACAGTTTGAGCTACAGTTATTTATCAGTGAAGCATTATCACTCAAACCTCTTCAGTCAGTCCTATACATTTCACTTCACAAGATCTTACTCATTGATAATTTCTTTACCACTTTGCGCGTTCGCTTTCAAGCTGCTAACTCGTCCTCATCACATGCGGTATTTATCCTTGCTTGATCATGCAAGGAAATCGGACCTTATTGTGCTGTGACTCTGTCTACCTTTATGGCCCATTAAGGGGGGGGGGTTACTTTGACCCCTGCAAAGCTTCTCATACCAGGTTGGTCAGTGGACATAGTCCTGACGAACACAGTTCCCTGTTCCACCAGATTAGGGGTTAAAATATGCACGGTTACTTGTTCTTTCAAAAAAAAGCATACCACTGTGGTAGTGTACCGGCCCCTGCTGCCCTTCGGTTGGGATTTTGAACCAATGGTTTCGGTTATATGTTCTTTTGTCTAGGCTTGGGCACCCCGACAGTATCCCAGCCTGCGTACAAATATGAACTTCACAACTAAGCAGACTGTACTCCCATACCGGCTGTCGCGTTTTGATATCAGCCGAGTCTCCTTGGTTGCGGATGATCGAAAGCATGCTACTGCTGACGTCTCACCTTACACCTTCACTTGTTACTTCTCTAACAACACCACATCAATGGGTACCCTCTCTGCAAATCCCAGCACTAGGACTGGCCTTTTTTTTGCCTTGCATCACGCCCGGTTGCAGGTTCTACGCGTCCATCTTTAGTAGCAACCCGGCGCACTTCGAAGTTAGTTTTCAAAACCCGAAAGCGGGTCTACTTATTTGTCTTTAATGTCCGAACATGGAAGCAAACAAGACAATAAGTGGCTCTTGCTCGTGCTCTGGGTTTCCTCTGTATTGATTTATGCTATTTCTCACAAACAAGGGTGCACTACGCAGATACAGAAATGGAAATGACAGTCCCTACCATGTCTACCCTAACCATACCAGCAGCCAAATGCTGACAGAGAAACGCACGATTGTAAGCACATAATGGTAGCGAAAGCTTGGAACGTGAGAAATTTTGAGACAGAGCCTACAACAGGGATTAATTTTTAAGCTTTTTTTGCCTTGAACTTAGAAAGTGAACCTTAATTCCACTTTCTCCTGGGGTTACTACTGTGTTTTCGATGGTATCGAATTCATGACTAATCAAGATGCCAGGTTAAACCTAATTCCGGCAAGTGAACTCATCCACCGTTGTACAACGTCCCATTCGTTTATGTCGAAACCACATATAGTATGAGTGGGAAAATGATGTGGTCGTCGCAACTTGTAAATGAAGAAATAATTTGGTGATGCACGCTCAGGTGCCACAAGACTTTCGGTTTCGATGTCTGTTATGTGACATTGATGTGAATAATTATGCTAGCAAACAACTTTGGTTTATTCATAGTCACACAACTCTCGTTTGAACGGTCGTGTTACTGTTCTGGCTTAATTATTCTGGTGAGTCCACACCAAAGGGAAACACTGGACTCGGTTTTCGCTCTTATTAGAGCTCATCAGCAGTGCTTATTCAATGGACGTGCCGGGATTTGAAACCCAGACATCTGACATGCGAGGCGAGCGTGTAACCACTACCCCACCACTACCACCACTACACCACTATCAAATCTCTCTGGTGTGGACTCACCGGAACATTTACACCAGAACAGGAACACGACCGTTCAAACGAGAGCGGTGTGACTATGAACAAAATACCTATCTTGCAAAAGCCCAAAATTACAACTTTGGTTTAGTTTTCATAAACGAAACTACTCACAAGGTTGCTGAAAGCTCTTTGATAGCTAACGACCGGTTTCGCTCTTCTTGGGGCTCATCAAGTAGGTGCAGCCCCCGAGTTTCCGTCAACCTTATGTTCTACTTGAGCCCAAATTGGACCGTTTTCGAGAGATATATTCATTTGCAAATCAATTTGGTTTAGGGTTTTCAATGATGGCAACAGGTCAGAATCCCGTTCACTTCTTTAGTCCCTCCGGTTGAGTAGTATGGAAAGTTTGTCGACATCTGGTCCTTTCCTGTTTGTTTGGGGATCAGCTTGAACGAGAGGAATTCTCGTTCTGACCTGAGGATAAATAAACGACTCGGTTCCCAAGTAAGGCGAGTCTTTTTAAATTTGAAAAGTGTGCCTACTTGTTGTGCTTGACACAGGATGGAATCTGTAGCGAATTATCGGCAAGTTTTTATCGGCATTGAGTGCAAAGGAAAAAGCTGATTTCATATCCTAAATGTCGGCTCAACTGGGCTGGGCGGTTCATCCGAGGAAAGTCTGTCTCACCCAACACCTTTTCGATAGGCTGATTTTTCATCAACCTTGGTTTTTCGTTCAACAGCTCAAGCTGGCAACGTCTTTTTACCGTAAAAGTTTGCCTCAACATCCATGTGTCATCACTTCCAGCGTGCTTATGTATTCTGTTGTCTTTTATCACAGTTCACGATGTTATTGTGGTTTGAGCGTCAAGAATCATGCACCAAATGTGAGGTTGGATGCAGTAACACAACTGGGCGCCGAATGTTTCCGTTCTCTGCTGCTTAAAAATGGTAGTCGAAAAACTGCATCTCAGACCGAACGATGGCACGTCAAAACACACACACGCGAAATGCCCACCAACGCCTACGGTACGGTGGAGTTTCAGGGCGGGCCACATCCTACCAGAGCTCGGGTGAGTGACCGGTTGATTTTCAAATCCAGTTTCGCTCTTCGTGTACGTCGGTTGTTTGAAATCGATTTCTTTTCCTCTATTATACAGTACGTTAGGCTTCACTACGATACAAGTCCGGAGACATTGATGCATCTACTACTACATGAATGGCGCATCCGTGTTCCAAATTTAGTCATATCGATGCTCGGTGGCTTGGCCAACGCACCGTTGCAAAACAAAATTCAACGCGTTGTACAAAGTGGTCTTTTGAGAGCTGCGAAAACAACCGGTGCTTGGGTCATCACGAATGGTCTTGATATTGGCAAGTGTTTTGTTTTATGTCAACATGCTTACATTACAATCGACTTTTTCGAGTCACAGTCACGTGAACCAACACCACGACTACTCAGGACCGATTTTCAGGTTCTGGTTAGTAATCGCTACTCTTGCATCACTGTTGGCTTACGTGTAGTACCAAGCGATAACAATAGTTCGATTGAGATAAAGCAGATCCGGGTAAATTTTTTCACACGTCCATCCGGGTTGAAGCGTGCTTAGTGACTGACCACTGTTTTCACTAGTTATTAAAGTGGTTAGCGTCCAGATTTGTCTACATATGGCCTTTCATAATGTCCTATAAAGGGTAATTTACTCCGAAGCTGGACAAATGCACTCATTTGGATACCAGTTTGGTTTTCGCGGAAGGGTCATCTGGATCCCAGCTGAAGCTCTCATCTTCAGGATGTTCTCCAACTGAATGTGCTGCACCAGGCCGCCTCATATTTCACTAAACGTTCGACATTCGCCTGGTACTCTCGGACTGGCGTCTTACATATCGAGGCCTAACGTAGTAACATAAGGGAAGCCAGCAGCATAAAACGACAGGCGTGAGATATACATTTATGGTTGGCACGATCGGTTTGGATACTTGCTTTGAACATGGATACCATAACCGATTGATCCCGATTTAAGGAACGCCATCGTTTCCGAATACGTACGAACAACGCAGTTGTTGCGAAACACAGATTCTCATGTATTTTTGAATGACTCTTGGGCGAACTCATCTGGCCTAGCAGCCCGATGGCGTTTCAAGGTGGAGGCGCATAGTAGTGTTTCAGAAACTGATGAGGGAGTCTAAACTCACAAACCTTGGCTCAACTGAGTGAGTCCAATGGAAGACTTAGTTACAGAGATAGAGGACTGACTAAACGGTTGCAAGCGACACTTGCCTTTACAGTATATTAGATTTCCAAAACTAAAGCGGCAAACGTGTTGATGCACCTCTCAATGTCTTCGAGAAATACGCCCATTTGCAAATCAATTTGGTTTTCACGGGAGACTCAAGCGAATCTCTTGTTTATGATGTTCTTCAACTGAATGTGCTGCACATAGACTGCCTCATGTTTCAGTTGGTACGATATTCGAGATATCGAGAGATTCACTTGAGTCTCCCGTGAAAACCAAATTGATTTACAAATGAGTGTATTTGTCGAAATCAATCCAAGTTGGGTACAAGTAGAACGTAAGGTTGACGGTAACTCAGGGACTGCGCCTGCTTGATGAGCCCCAAGGAGAGCGAAACCGGTCTCATTGTCTTATTTTTGCACTTATGTAGGGGATCCAGTGATTTTTCACCTGGTTCTAAGAAGAAGAATTGCAATCGGTTTATTAGGGATGGTCAATATAATATCTAAGATCACTACCAAATAGGGTGAACCTCACTAGGCCGAAATACCGACGCCCGTAGCAAGGTGGTCTTATACTTGGAAACATCAATCAATACAGACATGCCCCACATACTTTGTTCATACTTTGTTCTCTATCTGAAATAGTCGTATTATGTGCGTCACTCCGGTTTAATTTCCTGTCTACGAAGCTCTCACCTATTATATGTGGATCGCCTCTGGTGCAACAAATTTATCTCAACTTAATCCAGCAGGGGTAAAAAATGACCTAGTCGCTGAAGAATGATGTCTTTGCTGTAAGTAATGATACTTCCTAAGATAATCACTCATTTGACACAGTCCCCTTGCCATGATATGGCTCCTAGATCTAATACATACTCATTCCAGTTCTGCTCGTCTGTGCACGTCTAATGACAAACGGATATACTTGTTTACTTGCCTCACAGGTGTAACACGGCACATTGGTGAAGCACTGGGCGATGAAGTGCATATTCGGGGATCGAACATTGTCGCCTTGGGCATTGCTCCTTGGGGTTACGTGCAACACCGCGAAACACTGATTGGTCTGAACGTAAGTCCGACAGGTGGTTGTCATATGGCTCGCACATCTGCGCCACGTTTCCACACGAGCTAATCGGATTATTGATTATTTATGTTTTTTACTCTTAAATTATGGATATGGGCTATCTCAATCAGCTGATCTTCAGACCCATGTTGAAGAATAAGCGTATTCATCAAACTTTAGGGATACCATTTATACGAGCATATAGTGTTGCGAAGTTACGTGACGGGTTTCTCGTAAGTTGCTGGAAAAGAAGGTGACATATAAAAAAGTTCACAAATTATATCGACGTAACCAGACTATCGCATAATTTTCTAACAGATTTTGCTATAGGTTTGTGAGGTGAATTCTGACCTGACGGGTATTGTCGTGCTTTGGTATATTTCCGCTGCGGGCATCGCTAGACATCTTCCCGCCATAATCGTGTAAGCGTCTTTACGGCTGCAGAACTTTTAAGCCACGTGACAGGCCGGGAGACCAGGCAGTCTGGACAACAACTGTCAAATCAGAGGACAACTCGCAATTTGGATTGATCGTTTCTGATATTGTTCAAATGCTCTCCACTTCTCGCTCGCTGGGTAACTTTTCCAGGTTTTTATGTATATGCACATTATCGCAGTGATATTACCGGAGACAAATTAGACAAGGTTCGCAAAGACTACATGACTGGAACAGTATAATCAGTGCGAATCTCGTGGATCAGAACCACAGTATGAGTTTTCAAACAGCACTTCAAATAAATTACCGGTTTCCTTGTAACCCGCTAACACTGACCAGACTGCATCTATTGGCGGTTGGTGGGATCCGTAACCCTAAACTGTATGCACATAGGCGGTCCGTACGAATGGTCAACTTCCATTGGCTCTAAAAAAACGACTAAATCACGTAACCACTAACATCTATCCAATCACTTCTTTTCAACGGCCTACTCATGCTTATCATAGGCAGACCGTTCTCGTTAACTCAGACTTTAGCTTGGTTACCGCCTTGACATTTATAAAGACACCCAAGAGAAAGAAAACTCACTAGAAAATCTTTAATTAATCTTAATTTGGCAGATGGTATCTTTCGGGGGGAACCATTCCAGCCGATCATAAACGCAAATACCATCAGACGTTTCGCATTTTCTACAGTAACACGAACAGTGAAGCTGTTAAGGTGTTCTCGTCCCCGTTCTCTTAGATCTTCGAAACAAAAATCATCTTGAGAAGAAGATCGCCGTCTACATCTGTGGTAATTGCCAAAGAAGAGAGATTCGACTGCATGGTTTGAAAGTTCGCTAGTTTACAAACGCTACCTCAAAGGACACTGCATAACCGATTTTTAATACAATGGCGTGCTCAGTATACTTAATCAATCGTGGTTATTTTAGCCGTCGGGAAGCCCTATTAAAATTACAGTTTAGTCATCCTGAGAGACTATTTGCTCCATAGTGGCGAGGGTTTTGCTGGATCTCTTGTAGGTAAAATCAATCTTTTGTTTTCAGTTTCCATGTCGGATATCAAGATATTAACTTTCCTTCATTCACCCACGTGACTTCATCTCCAAATCCAGTTTCTCAATACACATTTATATTTTGACGTATCCTGTGCTGACCAAACCATTTTTTAATAAGTATCAGGAAATTGGAACTCCGCGTGAAGTTTTCAAATTACAGTGAAATCCGGCATGCCAATCAACGATTCTGTGTTTTAGGAAGTGGGTCAAAACCCCACCACTCTCGGAATGAACGAACACAAGGTGGTTCGATCTACTATCTACTTCCTCTTCACATTTTATTGACCTACAATGGTCACGTACGAATTTATGTGAATTCGCCATAGGTTTTCCGAGAGCTGAATCCAGCTGTAAACCGTTGTCCTCGCGCCTTGTGTCCTCGAAAGACCTGAAACTTTTAATTTACTGGCTGCCCGTTTTCATCTCTGTAACCAAATTTAGATTGACCGAAATGTCTACTACATTAGTGTTCACGATGTCGGAAATAGCTTCTAATCGCTTGCTGAACGTGGTTTGTGTTGCAGAGATTTCCAGTTGATATAATTACAGTCACACGAAACTTCGAAACATGAAACCGGCACCTGCAGATTTTCGTAACCTGTTAACTGATTACCACGCTAAAATTTGGACCAAAGACCTTAATCATTTTATCCCCCTGCTGTTTCGAAGTGCGTAGGTGGCTGCTGACACGCAGATGCATCATAGTTCGGCTAAGGTGATTTTTCCAGGCTAGTCCAAAACTACTTTACTCTTGTCGTAATTTATTATTCGATACGTTACTGGGTTACCGAGATAAGCGAGTGAAGATAGTGGAACGGCAGCGTTTCCAAGGCGACATCAGTAAACCGGGGAGGGAAAGAATCTTGGTGTTAGACTCCTCACCGGTTGCTTCTGAATGCAGCGTATCGTTAGTTTCCCCAAACATCGAGTCGTTTGAAAGGAACCACGCCCTGATTTAGGTATTTGGAGCTCCAAAACTCGTTAGTCTATGTGTAAAAGTGACCTGTGGCAGCCATAATGGGTTTTTGTGTTTTTTTCCATATCCCAGCTAACCTAGCCTATCCTGTTTGCATCACACGGAGTTTGCAGTCAAGTTGTGTGAAATTTAATCATACGAATGATTTTAGGTCCTTGGTAAAAGATCCACTCGATGTCAGAACTATTTCTTAGGTTAGCTCCGCATGCAGATGATATTTTACAGACAGGGTTGTGCAAAACCTGGGCTCAATGTGATCACCTCCAGCCATTGCATTGGATTAGAATATGCGTCTTCTGAACACATTCTGATAAGGGATTGACTTCAACGTAGTTGGTGCTGGTAGTCGCTGATAGACTTGGAATTACGTGTCAGTTATTTTATAGAGTCTATTTGGAATAAACCACTGGGTCTGAATGTGGATAGCTTATTTGTTTCATCTTGGCTCATATTATCTGCATGCCTCTTCAATATTGGCTCAGGTGATCCTCTCCAGCTGCTCTCAGGACATTTCTTACAAACCATTCTGAAAACAAAGGGCCGTTAGTCAGTTCATCCGAGTTTGGTTTTTCCAACATGACCAATAGTCAACGTAGAATGTATATTTCAGTAGCATTCGGTTTCCTTGGCGAGCAATCCACACGTTTCTTGGGGTCTCACAATTTCGTTTCGCCAAAACTTACTCCTCAAATCCAATATTCTGCGTAAAGAAGCAAACTTCCGTGTACTCCCCTTCTATTTTGACCCAACTCTATCCGTTGTTTGCCGTTATTCCGCTCCAATTTACATTCATATTGAACTGTGTGTCACGTCGGGTGAGGGGGGGGGGGCGAAAGGAAGAGGAATAATGGATTGGCCTCAGTCTACAACTGGAATATTTAATTTACATCTGCAGGGTCACTGGCATCAACTTCTGGTCTTTCCGAATGTAAATGAACTCATTATTATTCGTTGCTTTTATGAGATCACTAGCTAAGAGACCTGTACTATGCGCCCATCCAGATTTCTCGGCGTTTTAGTTTGTCATATCGAGCGTATTATTATCATCAGCGCACCAGTCAATTTCATATCCAACGTATTCTGGGAAATGGTCGGACTCGAGCGCTGTCGCAATAAAGCTGTTTCCTAAATAAACCCGATTCCGGATTTGGAAAATGTAAGCGGTCAAAGTGTCTTCGAAGGCCAGCTAACATACGACGCCAATAAATCTGAAGTTAATGGCCTTTATGGGACGAACAAAAGGCTCGTTTAGGGTCAATCTTGTGTGCACCACAAGTCAGATAGATGAATCACTAGGCGGCTAGACGGTTGTTTTTTTGGATGCAGGCCCCTTTGCCAGACTTTGGCTCGTGTATTCGAATATTGTAAATCGTGGATACATGTGCTCATAGACAGGTAGTGCAACCTAGGTGTGGAACGGAGTTCATCTCGTGTGGGACGATACTGCTCTGTAATGGCTTCCTGGGCTTATTTTTCATGGCCTCGTCACCTGTTGTGCCTGTATTTTGAGCGATTGTAACCGATTCATATGGCAGTTTTCACTCATTACGTTTCTATATGTTAGTGTTGCTCTTTGCGACGACAGTTACTGTATCGATTGATTTTGGCTAGGATGGTATTAGAGATTCAGTCGTGTATCCGACTAGGTATCCCATCATCTCTCTCTGTATAGACCTATTTGCTGTCCACGGAGGCCGTACAGTTTACTAAGCATTGTTTGGAATTATGCCCATTGTCCGAAAAGCCATATACATGCTAGCAGGTTCACGAACACACATATAATTTATACAGAAATGGCAATTTTGAGAACTCAACGGCCCGGTTTTTCGTTAAATCACCAGTGGTGTCAGAACGATTTCACTGACTCGTTTTTCATTGCATTCAGTAAATGTGGTACAGTACTCCAACAGGGAAATACCTTCGACGATTATCAAACTATCGCATTGGCCCATCATGACCATGACAGCAATACCAGAAGCTCAACTGGCGTACAACTATATAAAATTATTTGAGTAAAGCCTTATGATGGGCAGAGAGAGGAACCTACGGCTAGCCTACAACAAACATCGGAGGTGCTTACGGCTCCAGTGCTGAGTCAGACGATCTTGAGAGAAACTGCAAGCATGAATGTCACTGGCATTGGTTAGCCGGCATATCGTTTGGTGTCTCCAGCCAAGCGCAGAGAGGATCATATGGACCTCATCCTGGAAGGCGAACAGCGTCAACAGCGCCAAAACTTTTCCTAACACCATTCATTGCTTTCTGTCATGTCAAATTCGATCCAAATTTAGGTTTTCTCGACGTTTAATTAGACTTGGATGTTTTCCTTCGAGTGAACGGCAAAAATTCGACAAAACTCGAATGTGTTTATGCTTCCAGCAGCTTTCGCTTAGCATAATAAACGTTTCACTTCGAACAGCGTGGGTGCTTCATATAGAAAAATCGATTCACGCTTTTTACTGATCCCCGAAAGCTTGCTCAACTGTGCAAAAAGCTGCAATACTTATTATATTAATGTTGGCTTTGTGGGTATGCT